TTCTTAACATCTGACTTGTGCTATCTAGTACACATTTTTTGCTTACAAACTCAAATTGGACTCTATATCTTCAGAAAGGTGTAGTAGGGCTAGAGTTCAGCAAATGCAAGTGCAGGAAATAGAGAGGCTTTTAAAATACTTGAAAATTATTAAACTACCTTTTCCCTTGGTACTAAGGTTCCTTGCACACGGTCCCATTTATAACACAGTGCCTTGCTTCTCTCTATGCTCAGGACATTGCAGGATTTAGCAAGGAATTTAAGAACAAGTCTAAGTGTTGGTTATAGGTGGGAGTGGAAGGCATAATGCTTTCCTACTTTTCAAATCCCAATAGCCTGTCACTGTTATCTGCATGCTACACCAGTGTCCTGGGCTTGTTTTGAATCTACCTACCTAACTTGCTGTTATATGGGTTTGAATGCCCTCATGCAGGTGCATTCAAAATAGCAGCACTGAAACAGTGACATTTTTTAAAAGTTTTGATTCCTTAAGATATAAAAATTCCTTTTTTTTCCTTAATTTTGTTGTTTTTCCAAATGTTGACCTTGTAGATACACTATAGCCAAAACAATAATTTTCTTCAAAGCTAGATAGCAGCCAAGCTTTAAAAATACTGTAACTTATAGATACAAATTTACCAAACTTCCCAGAACAGCCACCTTGTGCCCAGTCAAAGCATCAAAATGCTTTGGGAAGAGTTTCAAAGCGATTGAAATTGGGTTAATAACAGAAAATAGGCTTTACCTGTTACGGGGTTCTCTTTTTTTAATAGCATTTTTTTCTTTTGTTCCTCGCACCCTCTCCCTTTTTTTTTTTTTTTTAATTATTCTTTGCATGTAGGAAAAGAGCTGGAGCCTGTTCAAGGCAATCCATACAGGTGCATTTGGAAAATTTGTTGTTGGCGTATGGCTGAAGAGGTAAGATAATGCTGATTTGCTTGATATTAACACATACATTTGAACTTTCCTGAACTCTGAAACATGATTTTAAGTAAACCTACCCCCTCTGTGTTTGCTGCTTATAGGATTTACAATTAATGCTTCTAAGAGGACTTCTGAAATAACATATTTATGTACTGTAGTGAGAAATCTACATAATCAGCAGCAGTTTTTCAGGAAATGAGTTCCTTTTTTTTTCTTGTTGAAAGTAAAACCACTGACACTTTGACTTTCATCTTGACTTAATTAAATGGGAAAGGAAAAACATTACTTTCTTTCCAGATCAATATAAATTTTTCAGGTAAGTTACAAGGGGATGCTAGTGAAGGGAAAGTCACTTGCTATTCTTGTTTTGGCTCCTTGTGTCCCCTGTGGTTTTCTGTCTGTTAAATGGAACATTTTCCAATGGATTAATCTAATGTAAAGTGACTAGAAAACTTAAATGCTTTGTAATTTAAAGTTTGGGTATTTTTACTGTTTATTTTAGGAGCAGTTTAATAGGTATGAAAGAGCAATCTATGCAGCCCTGAGTGGAAACCTCAAACAGGTAGGTCAAGCCTCCTAGATTGTTTGGTAGTTGTGCATTTTCTTTTTCATATATGACAGTGATATCATCAGATTTCATCAGAAATATTGCAATTACTGGTTATTGAACTTTTAAAGATGTAGTAAACAGGACCATGGCGAACAGTGCTGCTCCTTGCAGGACTGTGTCTTAACTAAATATATGATAGTCTTTTCTTAGTATTATTCCTGCTGACTTTTCAGTCATCCTGCTTTGATGAAGGAAAGGCTGCTGTTTGTGATGGTTACTAGTCTGCTTTGGTGCCCAAAAATCTTATCCTAAATTATAGTTGCTATGTTTGGGAGATAGTTCTCCCTCTCTTGATAATTTTTGCTCTGTTTTTTTAATCTGTAGCTTCTTCCAGTTTGTGATACCTGGGAAGATACTGTCTGGGCATATTTCAGGGTCATGGTGGACACCCTAGTTGAACAGGAAATACGAACCTCCGTGGTAACTGCAGAGGAGATCGAAGAACTCCCTAGAGACTATTTAGAAACAAAGTAAGTTTCAAGTAAAATTATGCTCCTACACTCAACAAAGCATCCTGTATGATCTGTTTGGAATATTCAAGGTAATGTTTTTTGTCTTTTCTCTCCTACTTTGAAGCTGGACTTCTGAAAAGGTTTTTGAAGAACTTCAGGCAACAGACAAAAAGGTATGTAATAATTGCAGTGTTTCTCCTCCCTGTTTACCATTTTTAACTAATCACGGGGTTCTGTTTTTACTTCACTATTTGATGAAATGCTCAAATATGCACAATGAGTCATTTTATATTTTCTACCTTTATAATGTGTTATTTCTCAATTCAAGTATATTGCCACCTTTTAATGATGAAAATTATACAGATTTTGTCTTGCCCTGTATCTGCCAAACCAGCTGCATGTGCTAAAGAAACAGCTGACTGTCAAGTGTTTTTGGACATACAAAGCAGACAAGAGTAAATCAACTATTTAACTCTGACAGAATGTTTGAAGATTGATTACATTGCGTTTTCTTTATGGGAGGTTTGTGTGCATATTTCAGAACAGACCTTTCAAAATTCAAAAGCATGTCTGCTTTTGCAATGATTAAATTGAAACTACACTTACTTTTATTTGATGGCATGGACACGTATTGCTGAAACAAAGACATGCAGTCAGCTACAGATACACCCAGCTGCATTTGCCATTGCAACACAGTGCAGTCCTCACCATATAGCAAATTTACAGGTGTGTTTGGATTGCATTTCTTGCATTAATGCATTAATTCCTCTATAGCGGGGGGAAAAAATATCTTCTTCCTCAAGTAGCTTTCACAGGCCTTTCCTTAGGGATTTATTCACATTGTTGCTTCTTATGTGACTTTGTAGAATCTATTATCTGTAACATCATTGTTTATTCTCCTCTTCAGAGCAAAAAGCCCTTAGTCTTGGATCTCTTCCATGAAAGTATTAACTGTACAGATCTATATTCAGGTTCTTTCGGTTTGTCGATATTCTTGTAATTTGACATGGAGATAGCAAGTGCCTTTTCTCTTGGTCTTTATGAAGAATACCCTTTGAAATAGGATAGCTTTTTTTCCCCCAAGGAACTTTTGCTTTATTTATAAGTTTGTTTTCTTCATACATTAGGCTATAACATTTTATTCAAAGTTTGAAATTTCTTTTTCTATCTCCAGAGGGTTATAGAGGAGAATCAAGAACACTATCATGTGATTCAGAAATTCATTATACTGGGAGATGTGGATGGTGAGCTTTCTCTAAGTGATTTTTAATTGTCAACTGACTACATTATTTTGAGTGACCTTTCCAGAAACTTTAATGTGAATGGATTAGAAGCATGCAGTAGGCAAACTCTGCCTTAAAGCTGAGCTCTGAAACAGTGGGGACTTTGTGTAGTTTGACTTTCTGCAGTTTGACAAATAAGGTAGTTTTCAAAGAAGTTGTGAAATCATGTAAATGTGTTAGGATATATGCAAGACTTTTCCTGAGAAATGATAAAATACATACAGTAGATATTTAAGCCAAGTCTTTCCAAAATTATTGCTGTTCTGTTTTGTTGGACTTTTGAGGCTAAATTGCATTTATTGAATAAATGCGTAATTTTGAAATATTTTTAAGGGTTGGTTTTTTTCCCCATGATACGGCTAATACAGACATTTCCTTGGTGTCTATAGGTTTGATGGAAGAATTCAGCAGGTGGCTTTCCAAAGACAGAAGTGTGCTCCCAGGACACCTCCTTCGTTTCATGACGCATCTTATTCTGTTTTTCCGCACGCTGGGTATGCAGACTAAGGTAAGTTCTCTTGTATTTGATTTTTGTCACAGCAGTAGCTAGTCTTTGAAGTAGAAGTGCTTGTGTGCAAATGACAAAACATCATAGAGGGATGGTAAATTACTTCCAGGCTGATGAGGAGCTGTATGCTTAAATAGTGTATTTGTTGATCTTGGCTCCCAAATACAACAGCCAAAATGAGAAAAGAGCATCCTCCTCCAGTTCAGCTTAAAAATTGTTTTTTGAGGATGGTGGATTTTACTCATTATCCCTTTATTGAGAAGGTCCTGACTCAGACTTCAATGTTAGGCTTATTCATAGCAGCCAAGATATTTTGAATATAACCTGTTCTTATAGACAGTTGTTGGAACTGTATGTATTGCTGCTGTAAGCTTATATATGTTTTTGTTTGAGGTAGTTAGTACTAGCTGAAACTTTCATATTATCTCAAAATATGAACTAAGTATAGCTTACTAGCTACCTAGCCTATTAATGCTAAATATGCAGATGGGTCACATATCTGTAATTACTCTTTTCTGAGGAAATCACAAGTAATTACAAGCTCTCCTTTTCTACTATTTTAAAATTTAGAAGCCCTTATGTAACAAATAAGTTTCTGAATGTAACATCTTTTGACAAATGGCAAATGTGTCTTTTCATTAGACGATTTAAACACAGCTCTGAGTTATTATGTTTATTCATGCCTCCAATCATTGTTTTATTCCCGTGTTGAAATTTATTTTGAAATCAGTTAACATTTAGCTAAATAAGAGGAATGTGCATGTATGTATGTATGTATACGTACTAATTTTTTAGCCAGACTTAAAATTTGATAGAGTAGGTCTTTAGGCTAAAGTGTAGTACAACTAGCCATTAGCATATGTTTAACAGAGGGGACAAAAAAGGGGCAATTTCCTACATGACTTCCCTTGTGAGATTGTGAATAACTGTTGATTCTGCTTCCAGAATTTTGAGTAGGTGAATTTACTGGACAACTCAATCAACTCTCAGTAGACTTCAGGGAGAAGAGGCAGATGTGCAGACTTTTACAATGTTCATTATTTGTTGTTTGTATACAATTCATATCAGTATATGCTGAGATGAAGGTCTTTAATTTACGTATATAAAAATAAAATTATAATTCTTGACAGCAACAAACACTTGAGTCTTGGCTAAAGCTGTTCCAGGTGCTCAGACTATACTTTAGTTGTTCAGTATAGGCTATTACAGATGAACAAGGTGATATTTATACCCTATTACATTATAATTTTCTATAATAAAACAGTGCCTGTAGTACACTGCAATAGTAATCTGTATGCCTGACATTTTGTTTATTAATTTAAAAAATATAGTAAAATGGAAAGAAATAAAAAATATTTAAAAAGTAACGTCCCAATTGGACTAAAGACTATGTTATCCAGTTGCTGAAAAAGAAAATCCTTGAAACACTAAATCTTTGAATTAGAAGATCTATTTCTTTTTAATTACACTCCAAGAGAAACAGTTCTTCCAGTTGAACCTGTTTGTGTAGATGACTGAAGCAGGAATAAGGAAATAACCTTGTGTCTGTTTTAATAGTGTTAGCCTGTAAAGTATCTTTTACTTTATTTTCCACATTATCTGATTTAAAATTGAATTTATATTTGTTTGCAATAAGGAGGAAGTTTCTGTTGAAGTCCTAAAGACCTACATTGAGGTAAGCTTTCAGAAATACAGTTTGCTTTCTCTAATGTAATTTAGACATAAAGGAGGAAGAAAAGGAAACTTAAGGTTACAGGATGAAAAGAGATGTGATGCAGCTAATGCTCTCTTCTGGAGAGATACATGGAAGCTTGCCTAATACACAGAGTTTCTGTCAGCAGTTCTTAAATAAGAGACTGTTTTATTGATCCTTGTTTAGAAGCTGAGTGGAATTTTCCTATATCAGGATAAAATAATCAGAAGTTTGTTATACACTTACATTTTTACCTAATACATGTTTTTACTTGAGTGTAAACACACGCATTTACACAGAGGACTACAGTATGTTTATATATTATATATACATTTATATAGTAATGGATATCTTCTATATATTTGCTTCATATATATTTGCTTCTTGTTCTGTATATTTGCTTTTTATTCTGCAGCGGATGGTATCTGAGAAGCACACAGACTTAATAGCATTTTATGTGAGCCACCTGCCCCCAGAGCTCGCCGTTGCTCAGTACGCTTTATTCCTTGAAGATGTTACTGAAAGCGATCAACGCCACCACTGCCTTGAGTTGGCAAAAGATGCAGGTGAAAGATCCTGAAATTCCTATTATCGTTTTATATCCTAGGTTCTTTTGTGTTTTTGCTCCAAGACCTAGCTACGAATATGATACTTTTTCCTTTCTGTGTCTCTCTGTTTTTCAATTAAATAAAATTAATTTACTGATCACTTCTTCAAGTAGGTATATAATGTGTTTTAACTAAGTTGGAATTGAAGTTATTTTCTGAATTAAACTAAATATCACTGGCTGCTGGATTATGTCCAAACACAGCAAGAACTAAATGCCAGCTGCCTGTTTCAAATACAGGTCCTGAAGGTTGATGTGATCATATTATTTCAGAGAACTATTTTTAAAAATATATACCTGTTTGTGGGTTTAGGAAGGTTATGAGTATCTTAATTCTTCTGTTCTATTTATAGTGCATTTTCTTAGCCATGGTGGGTTGCTTGCATTAATGGTGATCTTCCTACCAGGCCTATACATCAAACCAAAAGGGACTACAACAAAGCAGCATACTGTCCATTGCTTGACAATTCCTCTGTGACACTCAAAATTCACAAAGAAATAGATTTACTGGAGATTTCAGTGTCGTAACATCTCTTCAATTATTTTTCAGTCATTTTCCTTTAAACTGGGCTAAGGCTTACAAAAATAAAACATCCTGCTTAAGCATCTGTAAAAGAGCTATTCTGAGCTTTTTCTGGTACATTCCTGTCAAATCACGGTCTTGCTTCAGAACTGTAGGAAATCAGTGGTCTTAGCAAATATATCTATATGCTGGTCCTCAGCACAGACTGAAAAACTTGTTAGTTGTCTTGTTATTTTTCTCATATTTTATATTCTCTCATATCAAATATCATTCTTGTAAAATATCTGCAATAAATTACACAGCTTAAAGGCTTAAAATTTTTTTCTGACAATATGTGTGTGAACAGACTGATAAGAATTACCAGTAGTAAGGAATAAGATCAGCAGTTGGAGTCTGAAATTCATTTTTTGTCAAGTTTGAGTTCATGGTAGTTCTTATACAGTTCTTTCTTAACCCAGGTCTGGATGTTGCAACCATAACAAAAACTGTTGTTGAAAACATCCGCAAGAAGGATGCTGGTGAATTCAGTCACCATGACCAAATGCTAGATACAGGCACAACAGAGGTGAGTACACTTCGCAGAGCAGATATTCCAGTTTGCAATCAACTATGGAGTCTTCAACGATGTATGATCCATATCTGTCTTTCAACAATGGTGAAAATTGCCTTGAAAAAGCCTGTTGGGGAAATGTACTTTCCATGTGACCGAGTGAGGATATTGCACAAATCCATAACTTCTGTTTCTGCTTCTCCTTGATCCTTTGTGTGTGTGTTGGTCAGCAGCCATGTCTGTATGCAGACATCAAGTGAAGATAAAGCCCATGAAATGACTGCAGCAAACTACCTCATAGTTGAGAGTAGGATGTTCTTGTAGCTTCTATGAATTACGAGGATTAATACTGTGGATCTCAGATGTACCTTTTAACATGCTCAAGTGATATTTCTAGATACAGCAGATGCTGCCTTTACTGACAGTTTCCTTTCACCGCTATTGAGCGTTGGCTGGATCCAACTCAGTACTTTAGGGACAGTGAGGTACTGTTAATAGCCTGTATTCAAAGTGCTGCTTAGAAAGCAACTGATTGTTTGCAAATTTTTGGGCAATTTTTTTGCTGTTCAGTACAAAGCTGAAGCTGTCTAAGACAAAAAGGTAGTTTATCTAACACAGGAGGTGCAAGCTGATGGCACCTCTGAAGATTATAGCAAGGGCTCCATAAACCATGTTTGTACAGTGTATTCATATTAAAGTTTGATGAAAATGCATTGTAATCCATAAAAAGTTTTGAGAGATGATGCTCAGTATCTTGGGAACACTTAGAAATTAATTATTTTATTATTCCATATTGCAGATATTGTTTTCTAAGCTTTTGAATAGAGTGATCCTTCTTACCATGTCATAATGCTTTCCAAACTTGTGTATTTCATTGACCAGATTTAATGTGTGTAACATCAGCTGTATTTTTGAGATGGTAGTGAATCTCTATGTTGGTTTTTACAGGCAGATCAGCTGAAAATAGATGTGATTGACTGGCTCGTATTTGATCCTGCACAGAGGGCAGAAGCACTTAAGCAAAGCAATGCAATCATGAGGAAGTTCTTGGGTACTAAGCTTCACAAATATTGTAGACTTTTTAAATGTTGGTTTTGTTCTCTTTGGCTCTTGCCACTACATTTGACATAATTTTGAATCTAGTCTATTAAAAGCATGGCTTTGCCAGCTTCTGAAAATAAGGCATGGAAATTGCAAAGCTGTTGATACCCAGTTCACGTTCTCATAGCATCCAAGAAACATGAAGCTGCAAAAGATGTGTTTGTGAAGATTCCCCAAGATTCTATAGCAGAAATATATAACCAATGGGAAGAACAGGGAATGGATACTCCACTTCCAGCTGAAGATGACAATGCTATACGGGAACATTTATGTATTCGTGCGTATTTGGTGAGTTTCAAATATACAGTATTCCAAGTTATTACTTAGAAATAACGGTGGGTTTACCTTGGTGGTTAAAGACTAGCTTTGTCCATTTAACTTAACTTCTGATTTTTGGATGCATTATAGCTGTGCATGTAATGACATTCTGGTTATTATGAGAGACAAAAATGTCCAAACACTGTTTCCAATGCAATCCAGGAAGCCCATGAAACCTTTAACGAATGGTTTAAACACATGAACTCAGCTCCACAGAAGCCATCTTTGTTACCACAAGCAAGTTTCACTGAAAAAGTGGCCCATGAACATAAAGAAAAGAAGTATGAGGTAAGTAGAAGTCCAAGTTATTTACTGCAAAATTTTATGGTTTTGCTTAGGAGGCAGTCTTAGTTCAGTGAAACAGAGTAGAAGACTGCTATGTCATATGGCTTAAGAACTCTATTATAAATTATTCTATTTTTAGGTTGAAGGGAGTAGTATAAGACAATAGAATAATAATGGCACTGCACAATAAATTCTGCTTTTTTAATATGACTTTGCTTTACATAAAATATTGTAATGTAGTAGTAAATATTCATTATAATCTGTTGATTGTCAGTGTTATTAATAAATCTGAGCATTTGATTTTGCTATTAACTCTTTATTCTTGTATTTATCACCTTTTGTTTTCTAAAAGATGCAGCAGTTTTGTTTTGCCAAAAGTTCTTTTGCGTGCCTGACCAGTATGAATATACTGTGTTCGGTTAACACAAATGTTTGTTTTAGAAGCATAGCAGAATAAGTTGTTTAAAATTATGTGCCTCGAGAGGCTTTACTTCTGAACAACTTGTCTGACTCTCTGGACAGGGAATTAAGCAAAGATGGAAATAGCTGTTAGCAGCAGGTTTAAGTTTTAGCCACTGGCTGAAGATTCTAATTCGAATTGGAGCTGCGCTGACTGTTGCATGCTGGTGAAGAGTCTGTTTTAAAATAGCCTTGGAAATCATCCTGTTCTGCAGTAGTTTATTTTTTGTTTCTTTGCCAGATGGATTATGGCATTTGGAAAGGCCTCTTGGATGCTCTTACAGCTGATGTTAAGGAGAAAATGTATAATGTGTTGCTGTTTGTTGATGGAGGATGGATGGTTGATGTCAGAGAGGTAAAATAAATTTTTATATCACAACACAGACCACAAAGCACAGATTGTACCCAGTTGTACCCTTGTCACCTTTAGTTTGATGTGTTCCTGTTTAATTTGCTTTGGCCTTGCTGTGACCAGTTACAGCTTGCTTCCCCTTCAGTTACCATACAAATCATATCTGACAGTCCAGTCTAGGCTGGTTAGTCCAGTTTTCTGCCTCTGATGCTACTGATTATGTGGTTATGCTGAGTTGCCTTTTAAAAGTAGATTTTCATAATACTAATATGCTGTATTACTCTGGTAAGGATGCCGAGGACGACCCCGAACGAACACAGCAGATGATTTTGCTGCGTAAGCTATGCCTGCCAATGATGTGCTTCTTACTGCACACAGTGCTGCACAGCACAGGGCAGTACCAGGAGTGCCTGCGCCTGGCGGACATGGTCGCTTCTGAGCGGCACAAGCTTTACACGGTGAGTTAGTGAGGGCTGCAGGCAGCTCAGCTTTCATTTAAAGGCTCCGTGGGTTGGCTGTGTAAGAAGCTTCTATATAGAGAGGAAGATGCCATATGTTCCTTAACATCATAAGTTTCTTTATTGCTTCCTATCAACGGCAAGTAGTAAAGGGTTTCCTTGTATTCTGACTTAAGGAACACTGAGGATGATGGCCAGTGTTTTGACAAGCAGTTCTTCTGAATACTGCAGTTACTAATTTTTGGATGGGAGTTTAAAGGTTGGACTCCGTGATCTTAAAGGTCTTTACCAGCCTAAACAAATCTATGATTCTAAGTTGAGCTGCGGAATTGTAATTGATTTTGCAATTACATTTCATTTCAGAAATGTATAAGCAGGTTTGCACTTGTTTACCCCTAACCTTCTTTCCCTCCTAAAGCCTGGAAAAAATCTCAAAATGAGACAGAGCTATCTTGAGCCTACCTTCAGGTTTTGGATGCTGCTACTAGCTTCCTGTGCCTTACTAAAGGTCATTCGGAAGTGCCTGATGCTCACACTATCTTGAAGAGAAAGAAATAAAAGGGAAAAAAATAGTAACTTAATTAACCACCATTGCTTTAATATCAGTTATATTCATGGCAAATAAATATAACTGTATTATGTTTGGGGTTTTATTATTTATTCTTAGGTATTTTCAAAAGAAGAACTCAGAAAACTTCTGCAGAAGCTGAGGGAATCTTCTCTGATACTTCTGGACCAGGATCTTGATCCTTTGGGATATGAAATTCAGTCATAGGTTTTCGTGTCGATACCTACAAAAACTTCTGAGCATGGACATTCTGGTTACATTAAAAAAACAAACCAACAAAACCATTACTTGGACAAATTGTTCTGATTTTTTGGGGGGAAACCTCCAACTCTCAGATTTCAATGTAAACTTGAAAAATTCTGACCAACTTCAGAGATGTTATTTGTTAAACAACCTTTTTCATAATTTTTTTTCCTAATAAAAGTGCTTCAAAAAGAGAAAATGTTTTGTTTGTTCTAATCTAAAATGTCATTATATAAATATGGTGATTGTATGAACCTCTTTGCTATGTGCCAAAAAGAGCCGCCCATAGACCGGAAACATTACTTGGCAGGAAAAGAATGTGCATGGGTACAGTGAGGAGAAAAGTGAGACTGAGGAACGTGTACATGGAAAGTAGGGGAGAAGAAAGCAAACACTTGGGGCTGGAGGAAGGGAACACCAAAAAGCAAAAGTGAGGGGCTACATCTAGCCCTTCAGAAGAGAAGGCAGCCTTGCTTCAGAGCTTGTGCTGTTCTACCGTACATCGTGGAATTGCTAAAATGCTGCTGAACCAAAGCAAGGATGATCATATGTTGAAACTCCCGAGATTTTGTAGTTTATTTTAAAAGCTTGTTCTGACCCTGTTTACCTGTGTAAACAAACATTTAGCTGCCTTTCCCTTAACGCAAGAGTGCAGAGGACACGACTGTAGTGGAGTTAGGCAAGAGCTCTGGCTCCTTCACCCAGTCGGTGTCTTCTGACACCTGACAAAGAACTTCGTTTGTGCTGTACCTGTCTACCTGCATTTCGTGTGTGTATTGCCGGAAATACCCAGTCCGGTTGTGGAGAGGTACCTTGGAGGGACGGAGCGTTTCCGTCCATCGCTGGGCTGCTGGGCAGAGCTGGGAGGTGTACTGGGGGAGGGAGTGGACGCACACACCGACGAGCAGACGGACACACGCCCGCTCGCGCTCCCCGGTGCGCTCCGGGGGCGCTGCCGGCGCTGGCCCCGCGCAGGGCGGGCGGAGCCGCGCGGGGAGGGCGGGGCCACCGGAAGGCGCGAGCCCACGTGTCCCGCGGGGCGGGGGCGGCGGGCCCGGCCGGTTCGCTGGCGGCCGCCGGGCAGCCTCAGCCATGGGTTGGCTGCCGGCGCAGGGCCGGCTGGCGGCGGGGCTGCTGGTGAACCTGGCCGCCTCCATCTGCATCGTCTTCCTGAACAAGTGGTTGTACGTGCGGCTGGGCTTCCCCAACCTCAGCCTCACCCTAGTCCACTTCGCCATTACCTGGCTCGGCCTCTACCTGTGCCAGGCGCTCGGCGCCTTCTCCCCCAAGAGCCTCCAGCCCGCGCAGGTGCTGCCGCTGGCCCTCAGCTTCTGCGGCTTCGTCGTCTTCACCAACCTCTCCCTGCAGAGCAACACCATCGGCACCTACCAGCTGGCCAAGGCCATGACCACGCCGGTCATCGTGGTCATCCAGAGCGTGGCTTACGGCAAGACCTTCCCCCTGCGGATCAAGCTGACCCTGGTGAGGAGGCGGCGGGGCTGAGGGGAGCGGGGAGGGGCGACGCCGAGGGCAACAACCCCGCCTAAAACCCCCCTCACCACCTCCGCAGGTCCCCATCACGCTGGGCGTCTTCCTCAACTCCTACTACGACGTGAAGTTCAACGTCCTGGGGATAGCATTCGCCACCTTGGGCGTCCTGGTGACCTCCCTCTACCAAGTGGTGGGTATTGGCGGGGGGGGAGCGTTGTGGTGGTTGGTCTTCACGATACGGCCCCCTGTTTTGATCGACTTTCAGTAGCATCCAGCCTTCCAAGAAACCCTCTGTGCTCCGTTTTTTGTTTTTAAAAAACCCACCAAATTTTGATAGTCCATCATAACCCCTGGTAAATTGACGAATTGATCGTCCTTGCTGCTAAAAATTGGGGTCATCTTTAACGTGAGTGTATTTTCAAGGGGTGAAAAGCGGTAAAACTCCTTTTTTTCTAGAGAGAACTGATGTTCTTGCTGAAGTAAGTGCCTTGCATTTGAGCCTTTCCCTAGAAAGGACGTTTTCCAGTCCTTCAATTAATCCCGTGGTTTATCCTTGAGCTATTTACGTTTTGTCAGCATCCTTTTTCAATTTCGACTATACACAATCTCAGATGTTTTTGTAGAGGGTGCATTAATACATATGCACGATATACACACAATACAGCCTTTCTGGATGATTATGGTTGAAAAAATAGGTATGTTCAAGGACTGTCTTAGCCCTTTCTGCTTTAACGTTTACTAATATCTCAACCAGCTCATTACTGGCCACGACTGTAAAAGTCTCCCAAATGAGCATCCTCTGTCATGTTGATGTGATAGTCATCCATTTAAGTGTGAATTTCTTTGCAACAGGTATACTGTACCTCCTAAAGAAGCGAGGCTCTTTTTATCTGTAGTGTGTAAGATGATAAGTAATGGTCTGGTCTCTTGTCCTGTTTTGGGGCAGGAGGAGGAGAGACATGCTATATAATAACTTTAAGTGATGGTGTGTGTACTGGAGAAATGATAGTACTTGGGTGAAATTATTCTGTAATGTTAAAAAAAACCCTTAGCAAATTCATATGCTGGATTTCATGTTACCAGTTAATGTGATTTATGAAGTATTAAACATCATTCTTAAGCATGATATAAAGTCACATCTTTTTGGCTGTAACATCTATCTTCATAGCCATAGATAAATAATACTTCTTAAAGCATGCTACCTTGAAAATTGAAGTTACAAGTTAGAGTAAATTATAATCAATATTGAAATGAAATCCATTAAATTTGGAATAAACTGGCAAAAGAAAGACGAATGTTTACTGATTTTGTTAGCTTGTATGTGGAAGAAAATAAGCAGAAAGGTGCACAAGCAGATCTCTGCCGTGGCAAAGGTACTCAGCTCCATCACAGACAGGATCTGGAATTTGTGTTGAATATAAAAGGGAGCCAGCATTTTCTTTCTAGTTCTGCTACTTTTTTGTTCTTCCTCAGGTGCAATACTTTACCCCCAGGCAATGGGAAAAGGGAGGTTAGGCACTCAGGAGGTTAGGCACTCAGGCACTCAGTATGCTGTCCCAGCATACTATTTTCTCCTCTTTTGTGCTTGCAAGAGACAAACACAAAGGGCCCCCAATTAGGCGAAGGTAATGCTCAACAATCTGTTTATGTAATATTGTCCACGTGAGATTCCCTCTGTGTTAGTAGCCAGTTTGCTTTTGCTCAGGTTTTCAATTTGTGGGGTTTTTTTCCTCATGTTTAACAGTTTTCTCTTTTGGTTTTAGTGGGTAGGTGCTAAGCAGCACGAGTTGCAGGTAAACTCTATGCAGTTGCTGTACTATCAGGCACCAATGTCCTCAGCTATGTTGTTGTTCATCATACCCTTCTTTGAACCAGTCTTCGGAGAAGGGGGAATATTTGGGCCCTGGACGCTTTCTGCTGTGGTAAGGCTTTTATTGACTTCATTTAAATAATTATCACTGATGTAGTTAAACTTGATAGTAAGATATATTTCTATGTGAAACAGATTTTTGTACAGCCATTGGCTATGGTGAGATGAGGGGCATGTGCAGGAGAAAAGCCCTTTGTTGAGTCTGCCCCACTTCCTCTGAGAGGAGCGAGTCTGTCAATTTATTTATGTCCTTAATTCTTGTTTCTGTTTAGAGGGCATCTGAACAACAGGAAAATCTGTGAAAATCCAGAAGCTTCCCCTAATGTATTAAATTAAAAATAATGTAAGTGCTCTAGTTCCAGCTCTTACTGTCCACTCAGAGAAAGAGATAAGTGTGCTCGCTTTTGACATTCTCAACTCTTCTTCTGCGGAAGGATGTCAATATTGGTTGTTCACTAGAATTAATAGTTTATTTTCACCAAGAAGACTATAATTTCTCTCTGTATCCTGTCCAAAAAAGAGGCAGTGGCATATTCTTACAAATGCTGATCATGCTCCTCAGTGGTGGGTCACTTGTAGCATTGCAGTTTATGAATGGGTTAGCAAGTATTCACAATAATAAAATCAGACATTTTCCTTAAATAGTTTTCATTGTCACCATAAATAAGACTTTGTCTCAAAGGTAAAGAACACAGCCTCAGTGTGCATGAGCAGCCAGATTTTCCAAATCACTTTTAAATGTTCACCAAGGGTAAAGGAGAAAAGGGCTTGTAGGTCTCTCAGTGTATATTTATGGAGATCATACCCTGAGCTGCTTATGCACATCACCAGTGTATGTACTGATTTGAAGCCGTTTCTATTTTTGTTCTTCGTATGTTTTTCTTGCCTGATACTTTGCATTTGAAAGTAAATGAAACTAAATAAATAACCTGGGATGTATCTACAAAAGCGGGTCAGATTACTGACTGTGTCCATTAATCCACAGATAATGGTACTGCTGTCTGGAATAATAGCCTTTATGGTAAACTTGTCCATTTACTGGATCATTGGAAATACGTCACCAGTCACGTATCCTTTGTAACATTAGTCATTTCTCCTGTTTCCAGATGAATTGTGTTGGAATTCATTTGGGCTGATTTATTGTGGCAAAATTGTTTGTAACCTGCCTGCTTTATCTTAAATGATGAAGCTGGAAAAGCATGTTCATGTTTTAGTGTGTTTTGTTTCTTTGTTTGGGATTTATATAGGTAATGGCAGTTCCCTCGCTGACCTTCATACCTGCAAAGAATATTAATCCACACTTTGGCTACTTTGAGGAAGTGTTGGCATGCGAATCAGTTTGAAGTGTACGATGGGTGAAAGTCTTTAGGTGGAGGTTAATACTCACAGGCTGCAGGGATGCAAGAAAATTGCATGAGTTGGAGTCAGCATGGCCATACCATTGTGTGCTTTGGGTGTAACTAATGAAATTTCTAAGTGTTTCTTTTTACAAAAAATAATACTGGTATTTGCTGTTATCCTTAATGGATGTCTAGGTATAACATGTTTGGACATTTCAAGTTCTGCATCACCCTCCTGGGAGGGTGCCTCTTATTTAAGGATCCACTATCTGTTAACCAAGGCCTTGGGATTCTGTGCACATTGTTCGGCATTTTAGCCTACACACATTTCAAGCTTAGTGAGCAGGAAAGCAGTAAGAGTAAATTGGTCCAGCGCCCATAAAGCAAGAGTTTCTGAATACTGTTGTGAAGGAAAACAAGTATTTAAATATGGATTGATTCTAGAATGCACGAAATTGCCTCAGTCATTTAGATCTATGGTTTTAGTTTAATT